TATATATATACATATATATATATATATATATATATATATATATATGTATATGCATATGTATATACACATATATTATTACGCGTATCGTACGCCAATTATCATATAATTAATTTAAAATGATATGCCGTATATGCATGACCCTATAGATGAGCCAACACGATCAAAGAAAAAGAAGATACAAGAGTTTTTTCAGCGGGAAACAACCGCGCGACACAATTTACACAAACACATACGCACACGCATACACACGAAAGCTACGACACATCCCTTCACATCCACGGCGTCTAATCGTCTAAGGCTGAGTTACACCGATAATCTGGCTTAACTAGCTCTGGTTGACATGTGAGTATAGCGATTCATGGTTCTTCATTACACCATAGTTTCAATTTATAACACACAAGACAAGTAAACGAAATATAGTTAACCAGCGTCAGTGATAACCAACGTATAGGTGCAAACTAAGATTCATACAGCGGGAGATCAAACGATCAAGAAAAAAGATCAAGTTGAGAGAGGAAGGTAGCAAATATATACATAGAAATATTGCGTAATCTTCGTCCGCGATGTACAGAGCATCGGTTGATAGTGCGCTTCAAATGCTAACTTAAGAGGAGGAAAATGTCAAAGGTGAAATGAGAAAAAAAAGAGAGATAAAACCTAAAGATATACGAAAGAAAGACCGAGCGTGAGAGAAATGGGGAGAAAGATGATAAAAGTGTGCATGAGAGTGCGAAAGCGTTTACCCTTTAGGATTAAAGTGTGGTCGTTAATAGCGGTCGCGTTTAGGTCTAGGGACTAAAATGGGCTAGCGAGGAAAGACATAAACGTGAGAGTGAATATTATATTATAATCTATATATCGCAAATACGGCTGGACATCGGATGTTGCGTTCCATCGCGCTTCCAATAATATTTCGGATATTAGAAGAGGTCACAGATCCACTCAACGTAAAAGAGAGGTAGGCCCCTTTTGAGATCCTAGTTTCCTCGATTGGACTACGTTATACAATGCAGAAAATAAATAAATGATACTTCAATTCAATTCAAACATCGCATTCTGAAGTCGTGTTTTCAGCCACTTGTGCGATCACTCCTTTTTTTCTTAGATAATTTCACTGTGACTTTATTATAACGTGGTCCAATTGACGAATGAATAAGCAAAGATTGGATAGATTCCAATGGTGATTGGGATTTATTAACTTCGTTGTGACCTTATGATACTGCGCAGAAAGATGAGAGGAATTTCAATTAGCATAAGAATAGAAATGTTTATTCAAGGCATGAGCTTCCGGAAGATTTTAAGAGAGTAAGATATTTAGTGCTAAATTTCTTTAAATAACTGGAAATTTATTTCTATAGAAATTCAATGAATGGATATCACTATCGAGTTAATTATCAACATACAGATATTAAGTTGCATTGATCTCGCTTGAATAGCTTTGAATTTATCAGTGATGTCACTTTCTAGATTAAAATCCAATATAGAGTCGAAGTTTTTCTTCTTTCGATTATTAGATTTTTTTATATTTATTTTAATACTTTAAATAGTTAAATAAACTTTTTTAAATATTATTTAATCTATTTTGATGTTATTTAATATACATAGTTTCTATTTAGAATCACAAAATATTAATAAAAATAAAACTTCTTTTTTGAATTATAAAATAGAACATTTTTTATTATTTTCAAATGCAAAATGAAATATATATTCAATATATTTTCATAGAAATTATATCCTTTAAAACTTAAATACTGAGATCAAAAATAAGAATGAAATTTTGAATTTTTTCGGGAAAAAAAATAAATTTTATGTTACCTTAGTTGATGACTTGAATAATCAATATTGATTATTCAAGTTTTTATTATGCGTCTATTTTTTGCAATATATTCTAGCATATTAAATATCACAGAATTCTCCACTGGATGATAAAGAACTAGATAAAAAACTAGATCTACTAGAACTAGATAAAAAATAAATTCTTCTATATATTACTATGTATTACTACATTTACAAGCATGTTGAAATCGTTTGAATTTAACAAAAATTGCACGCTTAAAAAAGACAATGCAGAAGTACGTAATATATAATTATATTGATGGTTTTGTAAGAAGTTCCTCCCTTCTTTCTGTCGACAAGGGCTGCATCGCCCTTAATAAAATTATGCGCGTAATTTATATGACTGGGACATTCGCCTTTCGTTGATATCGCAGAATAAATGGTTCCTTATTGCGTATTATCATTATAATTGAATTCACAAAGAGCGTCATCGATCGATTAATTATAATTATATAAACGACAAATATACACGCGATTATTATATGCGTGTTGTTATTATTGCATTAAACAACAGGGTAAACAAAAAAAAGAGAAAAAGAGAAATAATTTTAAATTGGATACGTGCATCACGTGGAACGGCAGCCATTTTGTTTTTTTGGGCGAACGTGCACGCAATGAAAGTCAAAGAAGAATATAATAAATGCGTGCAAAATGAGTCAATTCTTAATGAACGTTAGCAATACTTTTTCATGACCACAAAGAAACGTACAGCGGCAGGATGGCGGAGACTAAAGTATATCTACAAGAAATTACAGTATTCTTAAGTTCCTAAATTATGCGCGCTATGTAAAATCTCAGTTCGTTTGAAGACAAAAGGAAAATAGTGCAACATTGAGACTGGAAAAAAGGGATGAAGGGATGGGCAAACTGCGATCGCGTGTGTCACTAAGATTTTACGCATCGCCCATGTTCTTGTGCAAAACAAAATGATAGCTGCTCCGTTATAGCGCAGAAAATAATGAAATATAAAAAGGAACGTGATATTTTCAAATAAATGTTCAAAATAGACGTATTGCATAAGAAATATTAAAAAAGCGATCGAATCTTATCCGGACAATCGCTTTTTATTAATCAAAAATCTAAGTGAAATTTTTTTTTGTTGATATAATTATTATTTAATAAAAGCCATCTTTTGTAATATAAAAGTTAGCATACATTTTAGATGCATTGGAAATAATGAACAAAATATTAAAATACTTAAAACGTCTTTCGTTTATTTGCACGAGTGAAAGAGTCAAAAATTTTTATTGTTGAAATAAAAATATCGGCCATTACCGTATAAAATAATGCGGTTAATGTACTGTAAAAGTGTGATAATTTGTCACTATAATATTATTTTTCTATTAACTGATTTAAAGCAGTAAAAATTGTTGAGGAAAAAGTGAGGGCCAATAAATCTATATTTTAAATTGAATGCAATACATTTATCATATAATAAATGAAATGTGTTCACCATTAAAATTGAAAAGTTTTTTAACGGCTATTACGATGATATATTAAGTTAACATATACAAATAAATTGTACTATATCAAAATTATGTTAAATTTGTTAGTAATTAAATATATTTTCTCTATTAATA